CCCCCCGCACATTCTTAAACTATACTCTCTCTTGAAACCTTGTAAGCCAGTCACTTTGTGCCTTTTTCACCCCATTTTAGGTAGCCAGTGTCTAAATTGCCCATCCCTATCTACCCTGTGTACAGAGGAGATAGCATTGATACTTGATGTGAAGACTCTGTTGCTATTTAGAGTTACTACCTCCATGAGTATAGGGAGCTCTGGTAGCGTAGTGGTTACGAATCGGGCTGAGAACTGCAAGGTCAGCAGTTTGAAACTGCCAGCTATTCTGCAGGGGAAAGATGAGGCGTTCTGCGCCTGTAAATATTTACAGCCTCGGAAACATTGTACAGTGTCACTATGAGTCAGAACCAACTCTACGGCACACAGCCACCACCTCCATGAGTATAGGTCAGGTTCATCAAATTGTAGCAATGTACCCTTGTTTCCTTTATCAAAAAAAGTTGTTATTATTTTTATTTTTTAATCTTCCTCAGTCAAGTTCTGATTATCAAGCCATCGAGGCTAGGTCAAATGGGTACTGTCTGCAAATTTGAGTGTTCTTGTGCATCTCCCCTTACTTCATATCAGCTGGATGCTTCACTCTCATCCCTCTGTGGCTATGTCTTTGCCCATGGGCTCAAGTGGCCTCAGGTCTCACCACACTTTGGACCAACCAGTCCTTCCTCTTCTCTCTCATCTCCAGGTTAATGGGAGTCAATGGACTGTGGTTGATCTCAGCCCATTTCTTCATTGCTGCCTTTCCCCTTCTTCCACTCACCAGTAGACCAGTGTGATGGCCAGCACCTTACATGCCTGTTTGTGTGTTCCCTTTGAGTTTCAGTCCTAGAGGGGAGTTTGTCCTGAAGGGATTTGATTGCTTGCCTTGATGGCTTCCTGGCAAACAGCTTGCTTATTCTTGTAGTAGCCAGTCATGCTGACTTTTTTGTTTTGGGTTTTTCCTGATGATCTTTCTTTGAAGATGTATCTTCTGTCACTGTAGCTGTTCCAGTCTGCTTGTCCTTTCTAGTGGGAATGTCTCACCTCATAAGGTTCTGGATGGGACTCAGGATTCCACCTAAGGTCTATATTCTGGAAAGGCTTTGCACGAGGCCAGTTTCACTGGGCAAGCTTTAGAACTCCTTCTAGGTATTCCAGTCAGTTATAGGCTGAAGACAGGTTTACAAGTTTTCTCTAATCATGTTTCCCATCATTCCTTTCTATCCCACTCAAGTGTCTATTTTACAATAGTAGGCAAGGGAAACTAATATTCATAAGGCAGTCAAGGATTTTAGTTATTATTTCCCCTCTTCAAGCTATGCCTAGATCCCTGTATCGCAGAGCCCTGTTGTTCCAAGTTTGAGCATGCATCACTATTTACCTGTGTCCCACTTAGGCCATGCAGCCCAGTCTCAGTGTTGCCCTATCTATCTTGTTCTTCCGCCTCGTCCCCTTTCTTGTATTGCCCTCTCCAATATCCAAACTAAACCCCCCACCCCAACCCAACTGTTGTGGTTACCTTATATTCCATTAATTCTCCCCTCCATTTAAGACAGTCTATTTTATCCTGTAATCTACGTGACCTTCCCACCACTGAATCTCTGTTCCTCTGTGTTTACCTTCTTTCACATTGTAATTGTTTGATCATAGACTGACCTAGATCCTCTGTCCTTAAAATTTTATTCTGTTCTTGACTCTTCCATTTGCCAATTGAGTTCAGGGTGTTGCTGCCACGTACGTCATTCTCTGGTTGTTTCTGTTCTTGTTGGTTCTCAGTCCACAGAACTTCCTTTAGGATGTTTTTCATAGCAGAGTTAGTTGGCTTTGTCAAAATCCCTTAGTTTTTGTTTATCCTGGAATGTTTTGATTACACCATTGTATTTGATTGACAGCTTTGCTGGGTAGAGGATTCTTGCTTGACAGTTGTTGTTTTTTCTTTCAGGGTTTTATATATGTATCCCCATTGCCTTCTTGCCTGCATGGCTTCTGTTGAGAGAGCTGAGCTTAATCTGATTTGCTTGCCTTTGTATGTTACACTTCTCTTTTCCGTAGCTGTTTCAGGATTCTGTCCTTATCTTTGATTTTGGAGAGCTTGATTATTATATGTTTTGGTGATTGTCTTTTAGGGTCTGCCCTTTCTGGGGTTCATTGAGCTTCTTGAATGCTTGCTTATCTTTTCGCTTTTCAAGATGTTTGGACATTTTTCTTCCAGCATCTCTTGAACTGTCTCCTCTGTGGACCTGTGTAATTCTTCCTGTTCCGGAATGCTGATAATTTTTGAGTTATTCTTCTTCATGTTGTTCAACATGAATCTGAGGCCTTCTTCAGATTTTTTTAATCCTGTTTTGTGTTTGCTCTTCTATCTTAGTAGTGGTGAGAGATTTATCTTGTAGCTCACTAGTTCTGGCTTCTAACTCTTCGATTCTACTCCTTTGCCGTTTCAGTGTATTGTCCATTTGTGATATTATTAATCGTTTGAACCTCTTTCTGTAGGTCTTGCATTGTTTCCAATGCTGTATCTATTTTATTTGATTGTTCCTATAACACTTTCCTGACTTCTTCCCTATTTTTCTCAATTCCATTGTACAGTGTTTTGATACATCTTAATCACTTTTTAAAATTCCTTTTGAGGCATTTTGAAAGCCTACCCATCTTCCAGTATGGAGTGAGGTCTACTTCCAGCTCATTTGCCTCAGTCACTTTATCTCGTTTCTGGACATGTGCAGATATGGTCATCTGCTTCTGTTTTTTGGGAATATTCAGGAGTTATCTGTGGCCTTAATTGTCTCTAGGTAGATGTGATTAGGAGATGGGCTTACCCTTCTTCCTAAGAAATTTCAAGATGCCACGGTTGGTCGTTGTGACATAACTCAGGATTTAATGTTTGGCCTATTAGTCTGCCTGTCCTGCTTCACAATCCCTGTTCAGGCCTTTTTCCTAATGATAAACAGTTCAGGGCTAGCTGTGGCCGTTTTGCATGTCCGTTTGGCTTTATGTGGAAACTGTCACTTAAAATTTCGAGGAGATCTCTGCGCATGCATAGTAGAACCTTCTGGGGGTGAGGGTGGGATGTCCGCTTGCTGAGACACCCCCTCTAGTCACCAGAATGGAGGTGCGCAGGCAGA